TTTCTTTTATTCCCTTTGTCAAATCAAGTTTCCAAGCTACTGCGAATATAATAACAAGTAACAAGATGTGACGTTGAGGAACGACGCAAATGAACAAATGAATGTGAGACACGTGTGTCACACGTATGTGGCTCCTTATAGGCTGGATTCGGGGAGCGCGCTATTAGCGCTATTTGCTTATTCTATCCTTGTTTTACATCTGATAAGCGATAAAGATAGAACGATGCAATAGCGCTAATAGCGCGCTCCCTGAACGCAGCCATAGAATGCGTGTCCCCTCCATCTATCTCCCGGGTGACCCGCGAGCGCCACGGTTCAAATCTCAAATCTGACATTTCTTAATTATGGTACATCGATTAGTTGCCGAAAGGAACTGAACAATCAGATGCTAGATCTACATGAGAAACTTTTATAACTCACGACTATTTTCACTGACAATAGGATTAGTTTTAAAATACTAAAATATTTTATTAGAGTTTTGCCTCAAGTCTACTGTAATAATTAACACGCGTATCGGCTTTATGCAATAACTGTTAATTTCATCGCTAAAATACGCTAACAAACTGACAGATCCAACATTACATTTTAAAAATGTACGTTATTATTGCTTTAATCGTGATGTATTGACATAATATGTAATAAATTTTAGCGATTGTAACCACGCTTGGCTCTTATTGCCTGATTAATTCTAATATTAGTTATTATTGCTTACACAAAAAAAAAATAAAGTTGCTTCATTTAAACGTCGACGTCACGGGCTGCCACAAGCATTGGACCAAATATTTAAATTATCAAAACAATTAACTGATATTTTTTGTTCATTAATATATATTGATGTTGCATCAATAAATTTTGTCTCAATAACACTGATGCTGTTGATACAAAAAATGATGCTATTGATACACCATTATTTTCTTTCCGTGTAGGAATATTTCTTCTATCCGATTACTTTCATTGTTCAATCTTTGCCTTACCTTTACTTTCAAATTATTTTCTGCCAAAGTGATAAAGTTTTATTTCAAATTAGGCACAAAAACTGTATTAAAAAAGATACAACATTCACCAAAAATATCATATCTGTTTAATTTCTATTTTTAAAACAAATTTGGATTTTGAAATAATGAGTTATCAAACTTAATTCGAATTTAAGTAATCGATTTATAATTTTTGTGAAACATTTTCTTCTCTCCATTTACCGATGATCGGACAGTATATTTTTATTAAATCGAACATCTCTATACACACTTTGCCAATACCATATATATCTCTTAATTAAAAACGAAGATAAATAAACTGATAGAAATTAAAAGAAACAGTGAAATAATTTCTTTATATCTTTAGCTACGTATGTATATTAAGAAATAATTAAGACTTTGATTGCTTTAATTTAATCGCATTTTATTGAACTCCAATTAATGACAACATCGAAAACGTGTAATTGCGATAAACATTAAATAACAAAAATTGAGTCTATAAGAAATAATTTGCTCGTTGAATAAAATAGTTGTTAAAAGATTCTGACACTATAATTTGTATACAGGATGATCTACAGAACAATTGTCACTTTTTAATAAGATATAGTAGTGATAATATTAAATAAAACATTTATAGATAACATAATGATTTGTAAGAATCATTTTTTTTCTCCTTTTGGTTTAGATCCTGTAGAAATTTATTGAGAAACTTATAACTAAACTAATAAGTATAATAAGGAGATATAATTAATAATAGTTTTATTCGTACATCTATAAACTCAAATTACGAATTATTTTTAATTTGTATTAATACTTATTTACATATAAATTCTTACTTATATAAAAATTAAAAGTTATATAATTATAAAAAATAAAAAATCATGTTTATTAATTAAATAAAAAAAAATATCTTTATCATGTTCTACATATGTCTTATTTATGAATATATGTGTTTAGGATTTCAATATAATATGAATCAAATTGGAGCCAGTGTAAATGTCTCATTTATCATAGCTCGTGACAACAAAAATTGATGAGTACTGATTTCAACTTCACTTTTCTCAATCAATTCCATTATCTTATTAAAATCTTCTGGTGGTAGATTTCGAAATTCTTTAGTATCTCTAATTTCAATTATGTGAAATTTAATAAAACTTGCCGAATGTGTTTCTAAAAATTTTGCATTAGACGAAAACGCAAGCTGTATAAGTTCCACAGCATTATCAATTGTAATATAGCGTAATAAATAATTTTCACACGTTAATTTCAAAGCTGATACATCATACTTATGAGCTGTTGTTAACAATTCTTTAAGCATGTCACAATCACCATGATCTATAGAGCCAGTTAAAATATATAATAAAATCTGTCCAAAAGATTCTACCTCATTATCCGCTACTAATTCATTCATATTAATTGTCATATTTTTTTCTTCTCCCTCATGTGTACGGCAGATATTGTTAAAGTAACTACTGTTGATGGCGCACAATGATTTTTTTGATATAACATATTGGTCTTCTCCTACTATAAATTTGATTGATTCCTCATCTTTAAATCGAAACTCATCAGAGGTCGAGTCTTCAACATGTGTCACGTCTTTTGAAAATTCTTTTGACGATGGTAATAAATTCATATGTACAGTTTTATTTATCAGATTGTGAAAAATTTCAAACTTGCAATGTATTATAAGCGAATCTGTATAACTAATCTGAGAGTCAGATAGCGAGATTTCAATTAACAATATCCTATCCGATATACGACCCGAAATGAATTTTGATGATAAAACGTTATTTGCGGTTGGTGCCATTATAGTAGTGGTACATGAACCGTCAAATGATTGTTTATTAGTAAGTATACGTAATTGTATACGTTTCCTCAAATAAGGGGAATCAAATGGAACACGGAATTCAATCTTACATGGACCTATTTTTAGAAACGATGGAAACGGTATTATATTCGTGATCCTACTAAAACGCATATATTTATCAATTTTCCATGTTTGGTCAACTATAGTTGATTCAATATGTGTTTGAGAATAGCTCTTGATATATGAAGGTAAAACTGGTGAAGATACTGTCTGTTCCTTTTCCAAGGTATTCTCCCCATCGGTAGAGAGATTCTGAACTTCTGTGTCAGAAATCTGGAAATAATTAATTTACTTATGAATGACAAGGATCAACATCAAAATGTCCTAAAGCCTTGTGTCCACGTTATTAGAAATCGCTCCGAGATCCCTCGGACGGAGAAAAAATTGACTAATCATATTTAAATAATTCGGCAATTGACCAATGCGATTAGTTAATTTTTTTCTCCGTCCAAGTTCTTGGAGCGATTTCTAGCATTGTGGACACAAGGCTTAAGTTTCTGTGCTGTTTAATGAAATAGAATAAATTCTAATCAAATATCCTAACATGTAATAACATTTTTAAATGTATAGATAAGAGCCACTTGAAATTGCATTTAACTTAACACAGATATTTTTGAGATTACATTGACTAATATTGGGATACACATTGATGGGGGATGTGAGATTACATATTTAATGGTTTTTTTTTCCCCAATATAAAAGTAACATTTTTTGTTAAACAATAAAAAAAGTTGAATAAATAGCCACATTGTAGGAGAAAACTTAAACACATTTATGTTTGTTGATCACAATCGATTTCATAAATAAAAATTGTGTCACAATTTTGCGTCCACTTTCAAAAAAGAATAATTAGTAAACTGCTTATTTGCCTGCTGAAGTCTTGCATGATCTATAAATTCCGTTAAATTTCAGAGACCTTTATTCATAATTTTATACTTCCTCCCTCACCACCAAAAGCACTTTGATGTATGTACATATAAATCGAATCTTGAAAACGTTTTTCGTATTACATATATAAACAGATTCTATCTTGAATTCTGATACATAACAGATTCGTCTGAAGTAGATTTTTTGTACCAATAACTTTTAATTGCATTCAAATTACACATGCTAGTGGAAAATAGATTTGATATGTGTATAAATGTTTATGAATTTTCTTTGTTATGTAGAATGCGTGGAATTATCTCTTTAGGAAATGTTATTAATGTATTGATATTGTATCGTTTTATGTGCTTTCTAACGTTCTAATAACATGCACTCAACGAAGTTGAAAAAAGAACTTACTTGATTCTCTTCCATTATACCGTTTTCACTTTTCTGCTGAATCTTGATCAGTCAAACGTAAGCTCGTACGTTTCTCTAACGATATGCTTCGCCAATATTCCAACACCGTCCAGACGAAGAAATTACTAGATTAATGCGTTTACGTACAGATGTAGCAACTAATTCCTTTTATTTCCTTTTGTCAAATCTAGTTTCCAAACTACTGCAAATATCATGCCAAGATGTGATGTGAGATTTGTGAGAAACGAGAAACGATGCAAATGAACAAATAAACGCGACCATTGCACAAAACAGAGCCGGGGGTGCCCGGCGCTCGGGGCTCATTATCACCCGTAAAATAAGTGTGAAGGGAACACGCATCCTTACCGTTACGTTCTACGAAAAGTGTCTGTGCCCTGCTTTAATGATTCTACGTGACTGATTTACTTTAATTTAAATATACCTAAATCCAACGAAGAACTAAAGGCTAAGACAATATAGTAATTCGTATACATCGATTCCTTCCTCTGTAGTTTTATACAAATGACATAATTCGATATAAAAACCCGAATTCGGTTTACATATGTGTAATTTTTTGCTAAATTCTCGTGTAAATTGTGATGACATCACACGAATCAATAAAAACCCTGAAAACAGTGTAGAAATCGATTAATCTACTGCTTAATAAAGGCTCATAAAGCGATCGATTATCCAGGTACATGTAAATGTAGTACATACTCGACTGAAACCACGTTCGACAATAAATTTCGTCGTATGACAAATGATGAAAATGCAGCCTACCTCTTTTCAAGAGCTCTAGAGTTATATATATGGATATCTTTTTTATCCAAGAAATCGGAAAATAATTAATTCATTTATCAAGACATCTCGTCGGTGGCACCGACGAGATACTATTAAAGACCGACAACCCTGGGGTAAATTTTCGTGACTGCCCGGGGGTCCGGTGGTAAACAGTTATATAAGGTAAAACTCCTTCTTTCGGAATAGTCGAATAGCCAAAACAGTCGATAATGTCAGTATTCTTCAATTACCACCGGGCCCCCGGGCAGTCACGAAAATTTACCCCAGGGTTATCGGTCTTTAATAGTATCTCGTCGGTGTCAAGACTAAAAACAATCAATATAATTCTTCCAGCGAAATAATATTTTGTATACAATACAGTTGCCGAAAGGAACTGAATAATCAGATTCTATGTATTAGATCCTACATGAAGAACATTTATAACTCACGACTATTTTCGCTGAGATTGACTTCAAAATATTAGAACATTTTATTAAAGTTTTACGCAGTCAAATTTTTCAAGTAATATGAGTATCGGTTACGCAATAAGTGTTAATTGCATCGCTGAAATATGCTAAAAAATAAACGAATGAATAGATTCGATGAATCATATGTCACAAATTTCCTTCATTATGTAGGATACATCGGGATACATTACATTCTCGTATTAACTGACTGATCCAGTATTGCAGTTCAACAATATGTGTTGTTTAAAAATAAATTTCTTTTACCAGCTACAGTTTTCACTGTTCACACTTTGCCGTATCCTTTACTGTCAAACTATCATCTTCCAAAGCGACAATATATAAAGTTTTATTTCGAGTTAAGCGCAGAAACTAGTTCAATAAAAGATACAAAATTAACCAAGAACATCACGTTTCTTTTATATTTATCTTTAAGGCAAATCTCTAGATTTTGAAATAACGAGTTACCAAATTCAACTCAAATTTTTGTAGTCAATTTATAACTTGTGACGTATTTTCTTCCAACTACAGATGATCGGACCATACATTTTCATTTGCTCAACATCACATGCATGCACCTCTAAATTAGTAAAAAAGATAAATGAACTGGTAGAAAGATAAACAAATAACTAAATATAAGTTCATTTATTTTGTAAAATATATCTAAATATATTAATTAATTATGAATTTGATTCTGTTTCAACTTAATCACATTTTATGGAACTCAAATTAATGATAATTTCAAAAACGTATAAATGAAATAAACATTGAAAAACAAAAGTCAAGTTAGAAATTTTTAATAAGATATATTAGTGTGCCGATAAAAATAAATAAAACATTTATAGATATCATAGGTTTGTGAGGATTCTTATTTCTTTTAAATCGGCCTGTAGACTTGAGAAAAGTATAAATAACTATATTAAGTATAATAATAATTTCATACATCTAAAACTCAGATCACGAATTGCTTTTAACTTATATTAACTTATCTGCATATAAATTCTTACATATATAAAAATTAAAGGTTATAATATTTCCATGTAATAAAAAAGAATGTTTACTAAATAAATAAATAAAATACCTCATGTTCTATAAATTTATATTAAAGACTGCAATATTATATGAATCCAGTATTAGCCAAAGTTAATTTCTTATCTGTCATAAATGGTGACGTTTCATAGCATTTTTAATCATAAAATAACCGTGGCACATAATTTACACGTTAATTTTAAAGTTGATACATCATTATTCTCATCAGCTGTTAATAATTTTTTAAAACATGTCATAATCACATTGTCACATTATTGAGCCAGGTATAATTTATAAAAAAAATTCGTTTACAAGGTTGTACCTCACTATATATGTTACCCATTCATTTATCCTTTTCTTTTTCCTTATATGTAAGGCAGATATTCTTAAAGTAACTGTTGGTAGCGCACGTTTTTCGTATAACACATTGTTTTTCTTTTACCATACATTTTATTTATTCAGAAACAGTTAAACTACCGTTGGTACACAATTTTTTTATGTACCATTTATTTTCCATCAACTAATTTTTTTATCAAAATATTGTTTTTTTTAGACCGAAACTCATCAAAAGTCAAGTCTTTAAAATATGTCACGTCTTCTGAAACTTTATTTGAAGATGGTAGTGAATTCAAACGTATAGTTTTATTTACTACATTACAAAAAAATTCAAATTTGCAATGTATTGTAAGCGTATCTATATGATCTAACGCTGACAGAAGCTTGTCTTCCAGGATTTCAATTAACAATGTGTTATTCGATATAGAACCTGAAATGGATTTTGATGATACAACTTCTCCAGACGGTAGCATTATAGTAGTGATACATAAACCGTTAAATGTATTACTAGTAAGTATATAAAAGCATACTACATTATACGTTGGAGAGTGAGGCACATATTGACGTTCCATTTGAATCCGGTATTGACCAGTTTCTGGAAATGGTGGAGACTCCATCATCTTCACAAATTCATAAAGACACTTAAATTGTTTAATTCTCCATGTATGGTCAAGTGTACTTGACTTAATCTGTGTTTCAGAACAGCTCTTGATATTCGATAAAAATGGCAAAGATACTGTTTGCTCCTTTTCCGAGGTAATCACAGTAGAGATATTCTTAACTTCTTTTTCGTCAGAAATCTGAAAATAATTAATTTACTTATAAATGATAAAAAAAAGATCAACATCAAAATGCAAATGTCCTAAGTTTCGGTACTTTTTAATAAAATAGACTAAATTTCAATCAAATATCTTAATATGTAACAACATGTTTAAATGCATAGATAAGAGCCAATTGAAATTGGATTTAACTAAAAATACAGAGATTTTTGAGACACCCTGTATTTGATATATCTATTTTTAAATAAAAATAACACTATGTTAAATGATAAAAAAAAAGTTGAATAAATAGCCAAATTGTAGGAGAAAAACATAAATACAGCTATTTTTATTAATCACAATCAATTTCATAAATAAAAATTGTCACAATTTTGAGTCAAATTTCAAGAATAATTAGTAAACTGCTTTTTTGCCTAAGTCTTACACGATCTTTAAATTCCACCGAATGGATTCGCAGACGACGTGGCTTCGCAGACGACGCGGACGGTGGTGGATTAACATTCGCAGAGAAGTTAAATTCGCTGCTTGCCGATTGTTGCGACGAAGCCGAACCAAACGTGAACAAAGACGAGTTCGGCGCATTAGTCTCGCCTGGCTTTGTGGTTGAGACTATAGTAGGTGTTGTCGTAACACCTCCTAAAGCGGGTGTGGTACTGTTTCCAAAAGCCGAGGCATTAGATGATCCGAAGGGCGACGAAGTAGTCTTGTTGGACAGTGTGTCGAATGTTGGTAGAGGAGTTGTCGCGAGCGGTGGTGAATTGAATACGGGCAACATCGTTATCGCACCGAAAATCGCTGGTTTACTCTCGGTATTACCGCCGAACGTTGAAATTTTGTTCTCGAGCATGGCAAATCCTGGCTGCTTGCTGTCCGTTGCGGCGAACAACGACGGTTTGTCCGTGTCGAATGCTATCGTCGTCTTCGACCCGTTGAATAGCGGTGTGGCACTCGAGCTCGAGAAAATCTGGGAGAGCGGAGCGACCGGTGTATTATTCGCGGCTTTGGTTGACGGAGTAGTCTCGGTTGTCTTGCTTCCTTCGCTCGTGGATAATACGCACGCGACAGACGACATCGGAACCTGACCGAAAGACGGTATTCCTTTTATTGATAATTTTATACCCTCTTCACCTCTATAACAGCACTTTGATCCTTGATGTATGTGTACATGTAAGTCCAATTTTTTAAAATGTTTTTTATATTACATATATAAACAGAGTTCTGTCTTGAATTCTGATACAAGTAACACATTCGTCCGAAGTAGACTTTTTGCACTAATAACTTTTAATTGCATTCAGATTACACGTGCTAGTGGAAAATAGATTTGATGTGTGAATGTTCATAAACTTTCTTTGTTATATAGAACGCGTGGAACTGTTCGCTTTAGGACTTAGGAAATGTCATGAATTTATCGATTTGTTTATACAAAATCTTATGTGCTCTACTCTCTAACGTCTTCGATCATAACACGTGGTTAACATTAACAAAGTTGAGAAAAAAAACTCAAGAACTTACTTGCTCTTCTTCCATTGTTTGCTTTTTCGCTGAATCTTGATTAGTTTCAAGTTTCTCTAATGACATGCTTCTATTATACTCAAACACTGTCCAAATGAAGTAATTATTAGATTAACGCATTACAGGTACAGATGTAGCAACTGATATCTTTTGTTTTCTTTGTCAAATCAAGTTCCCAAGCTACTGCATGCGAATATAACAACAAGATGTGACGTTGAGGATCGACGCAAATGAACAAATGAATGTGAGACACGTATCGGCTGTTCGGAAACGTCATCCGAGTGTACACGAGTATACTCCCTTCTCTTTCTATCTCAGCGAAGGAGAAGGAGAAGGGAGTATACCTATGTGTACCCGAACGTCCCGAACGCAGCCATGTGTGTCACACGTATGTGGCTCCTTATTAGAATGCGTGTTCCCCTCCATCAATCTCCCGGGTGAGCCGCGGGCGCCACGGTTCAAATCTCAAATCTGACATTTTTTAATTATAGTATATTGATTAGTTGCCGAAAGGAATTGAATAATCAGATGCTAGATCTACACATGAGGAACTTTTATAACTCACGACTATTTTCACTGACAATAGGATTAATTTTAAAATACTGAAATATTTTATTAGAGTTTTTGCCTAGTCAAGTCTACTGTAATAATTAACACACGCGTATCGGCTTTCTCATTTATGCAATAACTGTCAATTTCATCGCTAAAATACGCTAACAAATCAACAGATCCAACATTACATTTTAAAAATATTATTATTGCGTAGAAATAGATTTCTTCTATCCGATTACTTTCATTGTTCACTCTTTGCCTTACCTTAACTTTCAAATTTTCTCCCAAAGTGATAATATAAAGTTTTATTTCAAATTAAGCACAAAAACTGTATTAAAAAAGATACAAAATTCACCAAAAATATCATATCTGTTTAATTTCTATTTTTGAAACGGATTTTAAAATAATGGAGTTATCAAATTTAATTGGAATTTATAAGTAATCGATTTAAAATTTTTGTAAAACATTTTCTTCCATTTACCGATAATCGGACAGTATATTTTTATTAAATATATATATTTCACATAATTTGCCAATACCATACATATATCTCTTAATTAAAAACGAAGATAATAAACTGATAAAAAAAGAAATAGTGAAATAATTTCTCTATATCTTTAGCTACGTACGTATATTGAGAAATAATTAAGACTTCGATTGCTTTGATTTAATCGCATTTTATTGAACTCCAATTAATGACAACATCGAAAACGTGTAATAAACATTAAGTAACAAAAATTGAGTCTATAAGAAATAATTTGCTCATTGAACAAAATAGTTGTTAAAAGATTCTGACACTATACTATGTATACAGGATGATCTACAGAACAATTGCAAATTTTTAATAAGATATAGTAGTGATAAAATTAAATAAAACATTTATAGAGATAACATAAGAATTTGTAAGAATTCTTTTTTTTCTCCTTTTGGTTTAGATCATCCTGTAGAAATTTATTGAGAAACTTATAACTAAACTAACAAGTATAATAAGTAGATATAATTAATAATAGTTTTATTCGTACATCTAAACTCAAATCACGAATTATTTTTAATTTGTATTAATACTTATTTGGATATAAATTCTTACATAAAAATAAATTAAAAGTTATAAAATTTAAGAAAAGAAAAAATCATGTTTCTTAATTAAATAAGAAAAAATATCTTTATCATGTTATACATTCTACATGTCTTATTTATAAATATGTATTTAGGACTTCAATATTTAGTGAATCTCAGCCAGTGTAAATGTTTCTTTTATCGTAGGTGGTAACGAAAAAAATTGATGAGTACTGATTTCAAGCATTTTACTTTTCTCAATCAATTCCATTATCTTATTTAAATCTTCTTGCGGATTTTGAAATGTTTCAGTGTACCTAATTTCTTCTATGTGAAATTTAATAAAAGCTGCCGAATGTGTTTCTAAAAATTTTGCATTAGACGAAAACGCAAGCTGTATAAGTTCCACAGCATTATCAATTGTAATATAGTGTAACAAATAACGTTCACACGTTAATTTTAAAGTTGCTACATCATATTTATCAGCTGCTGTTAATAAATCTTTAAGCATCCCATAATCACCATAGAAATCAGTGGAGCCAGTTGCAATATATAATAAAATCTGATGAAAAGATCGTATTTCCTTATTCGTTACTAATTCATTTGTCATATCTTTTCCTATTTCCTTATGTGTAAGGCAGATATTCTTAAAGTAACTACTGTTGATGGCGCACAATGATTTTTTTGATATAACATATTGGTCTTCTCCTATTATAAATTTGATTGATTCCTCATCTTTAAACCGAAACTCATCAGAGGTCGAGTCTTCAAGATATGTCATATTTCTTGAAAGTTCTGTTGACCATGGCAGTAAATTCATATGTACAGTTTTATTTATCAGATTGTGAAAAATTTCAAACTTGCAATTTATTATAAGCGAATCTGTATAACTAATCTGAGAATCAGATAGTGAGATTTCAATTAACAATATCCTATCCGATATACGACCCGAAATGAATTTTGATGATGAAATGCTTGTGAACCGCGGTATCTTTATAGTAGTGGTACATGAACCGTCAAATGATTGTTTATTAGTAAGTATATGTAATTGTATTGTACGTTTCTCCAAATTATTAAGTGAAAAAGTTATTTCAATCTTACATGGACCCATTTTTAGAAACGATGGAAACGGTATTGTATTCGTGATCATATTAAAACGCATAATTTTATCAATTTTCCATGTTTGGTCAACTATAGTCGATTCAATATGTGTTTGAGAATAGCTCTTGATATATGAAGGCAAAGCTGGTGAAGATACTGTCTCTTCCTTTTCCAAGGTATTCTCATCATCCTTATCATCGGTAGAGAGATTTTGAACTTCTGTGTCAGAAATCTGGAAATAATTAATTTACTTATGAATGACAAGAAGGATCAACATCGAAATGTCCTAAAGCCTTGTGTCCACGATACTAGAAATCCTTTCGAGATCTCTTGAACGGAGAAAAAATTGACCAATCATATTTAAATAAAATAGAATAAATTTCAATCAACTATCCTAACATGTAATAACATTTTTAAATGTATAGATATAAGAGCCACTTGAAATTGCATTTAACTTAACACAGATATTTTTGAGATTACATTGGCTAATATTGAGATACACATTGATGAGGGATGTGAGATTACATATTTAATGTATTTTTTTTTTTAAATAAAAGTAACATTTTATGTTAAACAATAAAAAAAAGTTTAATAAATAGCCACATTGTAGGAAAAAACTTAAACACATTTATGTTTGTTGATCACAATCGATTTCATAAATAAAAATTGTGTCACAATTTTGCATCAAATTTCAAGAATAATTATAATAGTAAACTGCTTTTTTGCCCAAGGCTTGCACGGTCTATAAATTCCGTTTAAGAGACTTTTATTCATAATTTTATACTTTCTCCCTCACCACCAAAAGCACTTTGATCTACATATAAATCGAATTTTTAAAACGTTTTTCCTATTACGTTTATAAGCAGTTCTATCTTGAATTCTAATACAAGTAACAGATTCATCTGAAGTAGATTTTTTGCACCAATAACTTTTAATTGCATTCAAATTACACATGCTAGTGGAAAATAGATTTGAATGTGTATGAATGTTTATGAATTTTCTTTGCTATGTAGAGTATAAGTATGTAACTATCGCTTTAAGGAATGTCTTTAATGTATTGATACTGTATCGTTGTTTATACCAAGTTTTATGTGCTTTCTAACGTTCTAATAACATGCACTCAACAAAGTTGAAAAAAGAAACTTACTTTATTCTCTTCCATTATACGTTTTCGCTTTTCTGCTGAATCTTGATCAGTCAAACGTAAGCTCGTACGTTTCTCTAACGATATATGCTTCGCCAATATTCCAACACCGTCCAGACGAAGAAATTACTAGATTTTAATGCGTTCACGTACAGATGTAGCAACTGATTCCTCTTATTTCCTTTTGTCAAATCAAGTTTCCAAGCTACTGCAAATATGATGCTAAGATGTGATATGAGAAACGAGAAACGATGCAAATGAACAAATGAACGCGACTATTGCACAAAACAGAGCCGGGTTGCCCGGGTCGCACCATCACTATCGTAAAATAAGTGAAGGGGATACGCATCCTAGAAAATCACGTATGTACGTGTGTCACACGTATGTGGCTCCTTGCTCCTTACATTAAAAAAAAAAAGTTACGAGCAGTCCGAGCAGATATCACTTTGGCTCGGACGCCATAGATCCACGTATGCTTAAGGTGATCCTAAAGCCGTGATTCTAGCCGGTTTTTTTCAGTTTTTTTCTTAGCACTAATCTTTTAATTGGCTTTATAGAAATGCAAAATTCTTGTCTAGAATTAAAGTACGCATTAAAATCTAGGTCATGGTGGTCGAATTTATATCAAAAATGAAAAAAAATTAATATTTTTTGTTATACGTGACGACCACCACATATAAATTTTAGGATCACCGCACAGAAACTATATTAAAAAACATACAAAATTTACCAAAACTATTATATTTCTTTAATTTCTATTTTTTAAACAAATTTAGATTTTAAAATAATAAGTTATCAAATTTAACTAGAATTTGAGTAACCGATTCATAATTCTTGTGAAGTGATTTCTTCCATCTACCGATGATCGGACAGTCTATTTCTATTAAATTTAATATCTTTATAATTATCTATATAATTTGCCAATACCATATGTCTCTGAATTAAAAACAAAGATAAATAAACTGATAAAAAAAGAAATAAGTAAAATATAATTTATACATATGCTATACTTATCTACGTATATAGGTATATTAAGAAATAAATAAGAATTTGATTGTTTTAATTTAATCGCATTTTATTGAACTCCAATTAATTATCACCAATTAATGAACAACATCGAAAACGTATAATTGCGATAAACATTAAACAACAAAAATCAAGTTTAAATTTATGAAAGATAACTTGCTCGTTGAAAAGGTAGATGCTAAAAATTCTGACACTGTAATATGCACAAGATGACCTACAGAACAATTGGAAATTTTTAATACAATATAGAACTGATAAAATTAAATAAAACATTTTCAGATAACATAGGTTTGTAATGATTCTTATTTTCCATTTCCTTTTGTTCTAGATCAATCTGTAGACTTGAGAAACTTATAACTAAACTAATAAGTATACGTATAATAAATATAATCAAATAGTTTTCGATTTATATAATTATAATTAATAATAGTTTTATTCGTACATCTAAACTCAAATCACGAATTATTTTTAATTTGTATTAATACTTATTTGCATATAAAATTCTTACATATATAAAAATTCAAAGTTATAATTATAGAAAAGAAAAAACCATGTTTATTAATTAAATAAAAAAATATCCTTATCCTGTATTATGTATATTATTTTATGAATCACTACCAGCCAACGTGAATTTATCTGTCATAAGTGGTGACGAAAACAACTGATGAGTACTGATTTCAAGAATTTCACTTTTCTCAATCAATTCCAGTATCTTATTTAAATCTTCTTGCAATATATTTTCAAATTCTGCAACATTCCTAATGTCTTCTATGTAAAATTTAACAAAATTTGCCGAATATTTTCCTAAAAATTTTGCATTAGACGCAAACGCAAGCTGTAGAAGTTCAACAGCATTTTTAATCGTAATATAGCGTAGCAAATTATGTTCACACGTTAATTTTAAAGCTGGTACATCATATTTATCAGCTGTGGCTAATAATTTTTTAAGCATGTTATAGTTACATTGGTCTAGTGAGCCAGTTATAATATTATACTAAAATCTGTTTAAAAGTAAGTAACTCGCTATTCGCTATTAATTCATCTGTCATATCTTTTTCTTTTCCCCTATGTGTAAGACAGATATTCTTAAAGTAGCTACTGTTGGTGGAGCACAACAATTTTTTTGATATAACATACTCTTCTTCTCCTACTATAAATTTGATTGATTCCTCATCTTTAAACCGAAACTCATCAGAGGTCGAGTCTTCAAAACAAGTCACGTTTCTTGAAAATTCTGTTAAAGATGGTACTAAATTCATACGCATACTTTTATTTATCAGATGATGATAAATTTTAAGCTTACAACGTATTGTAAGCGTACTTTCAGGAATCAACTGAAACTCGTCGGTCGAGATTTTAATTAATAATGTCTTATTCGATATAAGACCCGAAACAATGTTTGATGAACTAAAATCTTCAGCCGGTAGCGTTATAATAGTGCCACATGAACCGTAAAATGATTTACTGGTAAGTATATAAAATGCTATTACATCGTTCTGCGAATTAACTTGACGCGAAACAATCATTCGAATCACGCACTGACCTATCTCTGGAATCGATGGAAGCGCTATCGTGTTCGTTATCGTAGAAAAACGCATAAATTGATAAATTTTCCATATATGGTCAATTATAGTCGATTCAATATGTGTTTCAGAATAGCTCTTGATATACAGAGGTAAATGTGATGGAGATACTGTCTGCTGTGTCTGCTCCTTCTTCGGGATATTCTCAACTTCTTTGTCAGAGATCTGGAAATAATTAACTTACTTATGAATGATGAAAAGAATCAACATCAAAATGTTGTAAAAGTTTCTATGTTTTTTTAATAAAATAGATTGACAATAAGAGCTGGATGCAGTAAGTAGGACACATATATATCTTATTATAATATAAACAAAAGATGAGATAATATTGAAAGTATTGTTTATATTATAATTAAATATATATATAAGCGATCTATTTTCTGCACCTCTTATTGCTAATTTTGTTAATTCAAATAACCTTATTTGATTTTATTCGGAGTCTCAATATATATATATTTTTTTTGTTAAAACATTAAATTTCAAATAAATATCCTAACATGTAGTAATATGTTTACATGTACAGATAAGAACTACTTGTTCTGATTTCACCAAAAGTACATAAATATTTTTGAGATATATATACCCTATATTTAACATCTTTTTTAATTAAAATAACACATTTTATGTAAAATAATCATAAAATAGAATAAATTCAATGAATAGCCAAGTTGTAGAAAGAACTTAAACATGGATATTGCCGTTACAATCATGATCAATTTCGATAAATACTTGAAAATTTTGTCAAAATTTTGTGTCAAATTTCAAGAATAATTAATAAACTGTTTTCTTGTCTAAGTCTTAGAAGACCTATAAAAGTTAAATTTAAAGGAAAACTTTTATTTACAGACTTTACAGTGCTATAACCTATATGTTTTGCTATATTTTAAAACGTATTTCATATTACTTATACATTATATAAACAGAGTTCTACCTTGAATTTTGACAAATAGTAAAACTCATCTGCAGTAGATTTTTTGCATTAATAACTTCTAATTGAATTGCATTCAAATTATACACATGCAAGTGGAAAATAGAACAGAGATTTCATACGTGTATGAATGTTCATGAATTTTCTTTATGTAGAATGCACGAATTGTCGCTTTGAAAAATGTCACGAATGCATTAATTCGTTTATACAAAATCTTATGCGCCTTCTTACGTTCCAATAACATGCACTCATCAAAATTGAGAGAAAAGAACTATTAAGAACTTACTTGCTTCTCATTCATTATGCGTATTTGCTTTCTCGTTGAATCTTGATCAGTTGAACTTGAGATTTTACGTTTCTCTGCAGACGACATGCTTCGATAATATTCCAACACCGTCCGGATGATAAAATTATTGGACTAATGCGTGTAAAGATTACAATTACAGATGTAAGGCAACTGATTTCTTTTATACCTCTTTCATCAAATCAAGTAACAAGCTATTATGCTTCTTCTTCTTTTCTTTTTAGATGGCCCCGGCTACCCAACGGGTGCTGCAGGATGCGGGGTGCGGTATGACCACGATCCACTCGATCCAAGGTGCGTTCGGGAAGACGCTATTAGTGCTATTTGCTTATTTTATCCTTGTTTTACACCTGATGAGCGATAAAGATAGAATGATGCAATAGCGCTAACAGCGCGCTTCCCGAACGCAGCCCCAGTCGGTAACAAGCTATTACGCGAATGAAGAAATGAAGGCGGCGTTGACGCCAGTGCGGCCAGTGCACAGTGGCGCTTTACGATTCAATTATAGGCATTTCTCTCTCTCTCTCTCTCTCTCTCTCTCTCTGTATGTACACTGCTATTCATTAATGCCTGGACTCACATCCAGGCATTATTGAACAGCAGTGTATATACCATGAATGCTTTCTTTTATCACATAGCGTTTAGAAACCTTGTTCTTTTGTTGAATGTATTCCGAAATGTACTGACACAGTACTGAAAGTGTGTAGTATACGTAATGCAAATTACGGATTTTCAATTGTTAATACATTTCTCAAAGTACACTTTTTATAAGCTACGTTCAACAGAAAAACAGCTTATTCGGCCGTCTGTAATGCTAATGCTAAGATTCTATAGACACGGAAACGCCGCGCGGTAGAGTGCGTTGACCAATCAGAAGGCTGCCGCAAGTCGCATGCGGCAAAATCAAAATTTGTGATTAGTCAACGCACTCTGTCAACGCACGGCGTTTCCGCGTCTATGGAGTCTTAGCATAACCGTAGAATTAAGAATTGAGCAACGCGATTGGTCAAAACCTTACCGTTACGTTCTACGAAAAGTGTCTGTGCCCTGCTTTAATGATTCTATGTGACTGATTTACTTTAATTTAAGTATACCTAAATCTAAATCCAACGAAGAACTAAAGGCTAAAACAAAACAATATAGTAATTCGTATACGATTCCTTCCTCTGTAGTTTTATACAAAGACATAATTCGATATAAAACCTGAATTCGGTTTACATGTGTAATTTTTTTGCTATATTCTCGTGTAAAGTGTGATGACGTCACATGAATCAATAAAATCATTGTCAGTTGCAGTAAACAAATAAAATCTTATAACGCTTTTTAACCAATCAGATTTGTGTAAAACGCTTAATACGAATCCTGCATCAATTTGGCTTTAACCCTGAAAACAGTGTAGAAATCGATTAATCCACTGCTTAATAAAGGCTTTTATAAAGCGATCGATTATCCATGGGTACATGTAAAGTACTCGACTGAAACCACGTTCGACAATCATCGTACGACAGATTATGAAAATATGCAGCCCACCTCTTTTCAAAAGCTGTAGGCTGCATTCGGAGAGCGTGCTATTAGCGCTATTGTATCATTCTATCTTTATCGCTCATTAAATGTAAAACAAGGATAGAATAAGCAAATAGCGCTAATAGCGCGCTCCCCGAATGCAGCCTTAGAGTTATATGGATATCTTTTTTATCCAAGAAATCGGAAAATGATTAATTTATTTATCAAGGCTAAAAACGATCAATATAATACGTTCAGCGAAATAATATTTTGTACACAATACAGTTGCCGGAAGGAACACTGAATAATCAGATTCTATAGATCTACATGAAGAACTTTTATAACTAATTTTCGCTGAGATTATTTTATTAAAATTTTACGCAGTCAAATTTTTAAGTAATGAGTATCAGCTTTTCTACTCACGTAATAACTGTTAATTGAATCGCTAAAATATGCTAATAAAATTTTTCTTCATTATGGCTGCGTTCCGATATTCACTGAAAGTACTGAAAATCTATAGTTTACGTAACGTACACAGTGAATATCGGAACGCAGCCTATGTAGGATACATTACATTCTCGTTTTAACTGACTGATCCAACATTGCAGTTCAACAATCTTTTACCGAGTTACGAAGCTTTCACTGTTCACACTTTGCCATATCCTTTACTGTCAAGCTATTATATCTTCTCTCAAAAAGCGACAATATATAAAGTTTTATTTCGAGTTAAGCGTAGAAACTAGTTCAATAAAAAATACAAAATTAACGAAAAACATCATGTTTCTTTTATATTATTTTTAAAACAAATCTCGATTTCGAAATAATGAGTTATCAAACTCAACTCAAATTGTAGTCGATTTATAACTTTTGTGACGTATTTTCTTCCATCTACAGATGATCGGACTGTACATTTTCATTAATCAAAATACCTCCTATACATAATTTGCTCAACATTACATGTATCTTTGAAATTCTGATGAAATAGTAAAAAAGATAAATAAACTGGTAGAAAAATAAATAACGTAATACAAGTTTATTTATTTTGTAAACTATACATATATTAAGTAATAATTGTGAATTTGATTCTGTTTCAACTTATCATATTTTATTGAGCCCGAATGACAATATCAAAAACGTTTAAGACTGTGTTCGGGGAGCGCGCTATTAGCGCTATTGCATCATCATTCTATCTTTATCGCTCATCAGTGTAAAACAAGGATAGAATAAGAAAATAGCGCGCTCCCCGAATCCAGCCTAAATGAAATAAACATATAATGAAGAACAAAAATCAAGTTGGAAATTATTTTTATGATATAATGTATCGATAAAAATAAATAAAATATTTATAGATATCATAGGCTTGTGAGGATTTTTTAGTTCTTAATTCTTTTTGTTTTAAATCAACCTGTAGACTTGAGAAACTTATAACTAAGCTACATTAAGTATAATTAATAATAGTTTTATTCGTACATCCAGACAAACTCAAATCACAAATTATTTTTAATCCATATATTATGTGCATGTAAATTCTGCATATGTAAAAATTATAAGCTATAATATATTTGTGGAAAAAAGAAAACATGTTTACTAAATAAAAAAATATATATGTCCTATGAATTTATTAAAGACTGCAATATATTATATAAATCCAGTATTAGACAATGTAAATTTCTTATCTGTCATAAATGACGACTGGTGACACAGCATTTTTAACCGTAAAATAGTGTGACACATAATGTTCAGGCGTTAATTTTAAAGTTAGTACATCATACTTATCAGTTGTTAATAATTTTCGAAAACATGTCATAATCACATCGTTTTATTGAGCCAATTATAATATATAATAAAATCTGTTTAAAAGATTCTACCTCATTATGCGTTACTAATTCATTTGTCATATCTTTTTCTATTTCTTCATGCGTAAGGCTAGATATTCTTAAATTACTGTTGATGGCGCAAAATTTTTTCGATATAACATTTTTTTTCTACCATAAAATTGATTAATTTTTAGAGAAAGATTCATCAAAATTCAAGTCTTTAAAATATGTCACGTCTTCTGAAAATTCTGTTGAAGATGGTAGTAAATTCATACGTATAGTTTTATTTATCAAATTATGAAAAATTTCCAACTTGCAATGAACTGTAAGCATATCTTCATGTGACAGAAAGTCCAAGTCTTTCTGGATTTCAATTAATAA